CAATTATTAGACTGAATTTTAAAGGAAAAGATAGACAAAAAAAAGTCCAGTATTATTCTATATTAGAATTTTGTTGAATATGATTATTCAAATTATTGGATAATTAATATTACTAGTCGATCAAAAAACAAAATCTAACAAATAGCTTGAAGAATAAAATCGTAGCATGTCGAAGATCAAAAAGGTTAAAAAAATCAGGTCAAACGGTATGTTTGACAAAACGCAGAGAGCTAATAATGACAGACGGTATGATTATGAAATGTTTACCTCAAAAGAATTTGATGACTTACTTGTCGTTGAGAAGCACATCTTTAGTAATTGAGGACTCTCCGTTTGTAGGCAAAGCAAATCTTTTTTTTTCAGATAACACAAATGGAAGCACAATACAATGGATTATATTTGATTTTGTACTATATGTTCGCCCTCTTAATGTGAGTGTGTTCGACTACTTATTTACTCTTGTTTTTCTTTCTCTCTCTAAGTCATATATAATTTCCTTCGTTTGCTAACGAATCCGCTTATATATTAAGCAAAAGAAAAAAAAAGAAAAGTAGAAAGGCTCAACAAGCTTTTTTGAATAATGAGTGTCAACTGTCTTCTCTTATTCTGTTCCGCCTTTCTGATTAAATCAGCAACGACAACTCAATAGTTCACACACTAGAAGAAGCACAATTAAAGATGAAAGATAAATATATATATTTTTTTTGTCTTCATTAATGTCATCTTAAACTATTGTTAAATTAATAAATATGAATGAATAAATTTTTATCGAATAAAAAAAACTATTATATATTAAATATAAACTTACATTATTAGATACTGACGATTATGTGAATCTATGCAGTGCTTGTCCTTGGAAATAAGAGAAAGATTGAAAGAAAGAGCTACAAGCAATAAAACGTGAGGCGACGGATGATGCTTTTGCCTGATTTATTTCTCTGCTCTATATGACGTAGTAAATTGTCATGCATGCTTCTTGTTTTTCTTTCTGGTTGCTTGTTGTCGCGATATTGACACAGGCACTAGCAGCAGCCGAAATGTTTTCTCGCTTTCCTACGTTATCTTACTATTTTCTCTCGCTTATTTTTATGTCTATTGTTGCTGCACTGACTGTTTGTGTGAGTGTGCGTATATAGTGATTGGTATCGAAGCGAAAGCAGTATTTATTGGAAACTATGTCAATACATCAAAAAAAAAAAAAGGCTACATGCTAAATATAATAGAATCAGTTTAAGAATTACTGTTCTTCATTATTAATTAAATAATATTTTAAATATTTTTCAGGCAAGAAAAATAATCTTTTAATGAATATTTCATATTGGTATAGATTTGTTTATAAATTAATATTTCATTTTTAAATACACGCAATTCTGCTACAGATGCTTTTAATTGATTATTTAAATGATAAAAATCAAAGGCATTATTTAAATAAAAAATATAAAATTCTTTTAATGATTGTTGATCAATAACATAAAATAGAACAGTATTTTGTATGAGTAAATCTAAACGTTTGTGTAGAATAATATTATAATGAGTATTGCAAATAAGACGATAAATAATCGATGATGCTTTTTTTTGTAAATTGGTACGATATTGTTCATTATCTTCTATAGAAAATAGATTTACAACAAGGTCCAAAAATTATATCCAACTCATGAAGATCTACTAAACATTTGTCACAAAAAAAAAATTGTAATCTAAAGCAAATTTAAAGATTTTAGAATCTCAATCAAAATGAAATGGCTATGAGTTTTAGATTTTAACAAAGCAAAAAATATTCGCTTATTAAGAAATAATAATCAATCCTTTTTGGAAAATCTAACATGGTTTTTGCAAAATATTATATGTTATCCTATTATTTGCAATAGAATCAACAATAAATTTTATATCAGATAAGAGTTTGTTGATGATAGAATTTCCGAGTATAACTTGATAATATATATGATAATTATGACCTTTCAAATCATGACATTTTTCGAAATTATAGATGTCTAATAGCTTACTTTCATGCGTAATTAATCTCAAAAACAGGAAGTTCTTCAAACAAAAAAATAATAATCTCGTATCAGACTTGGTAAAGCTCTCTTTACTGATGGTTTTCTTCAGTAACGTTTTTCTTTTTCTTTAAAATTGATTTGCAAACAGCAATAGTAGAATTAAAATGCTGCACAAAGACCTATGTCTAACATACAGAGGTTGATGAGATTTTCTAGTTTTTTAAATATGATATTCCTATTTGTACATCAATTTAAAAGAAAATCATCAGTAAAGAGGACTCTACTAAATCTGATACGTAAATATTTTTTTTTTTGAGAACTTCCTATTGTTGAGATTAATTGCCCATGAAAGTAAGCTATTAAACATCTATAATTTCGAAAAATGTCATGGCTTGAAAGGTAATAGTTATCACATACATGAGCAATTTATACTCAGAAATTCTATCATCAGTAAACTCTTATTTGATATAAAATTTATGGTTGATGCTATTTCAAATAATATGATAATATTCTGAAAAAATATTTGAATGTATCAATAATGACGTATTTATAAATCTATTTATTTATACATAAATAAAAGCACTATACGATGATCTATAGCAGATGAAATGTTGTTCAAATATCTAGATTTTAATTAACTAAACAATTAATAAATTGGATGTTTTTTCTTTTTTTTTTTCTTTTTACATAAATATTTTTATGTCAGTATCATAATTGTTATTTTCCGAAATCTTGATTAAATTCGTGACTATTTTTGATGAAAATTTTGTTAGTTTATAAAATATCATTATCAAAAAGTTTGCTTATGATTGTAAGGATAATATGATTAATTTTAATAAAAATGAAAGAAGACATATTTTTGTCATCTTCAAGTGCTTTTTATAGGCTTTGTTTTTTGCACTCTTCGCATTAGACGAATATGTAGTATTCTATAGTATGCTATTAAAAGAAAAGGAAATTTATCTTTACCCTTTATAAGTGGTTTATTATTGGAAGCAATTAATATTTGTTGAGTAATGTGACGTTGGTGAATTCGGTGTTGTAAATAATTGTTTTTCTTTTTATATTCGAATAATTCTTTTTGTAAATGAAAAATAAATTGTTTTATATTTGGTTGATATTGTTTTTTAAATGATTTAATTTTATGAATTTCATCTAAGATTTTATTTCGTAATTGTTGAATTTGATTCATAAGTTTATTATAAGATAATTGATGTTTATTTCGAATTGATTCATTTAATTGAATATATTCATTAATAAATATAATTAAATGTTGTTTTTTTAGTAAAAAAAGTATTATTTTTTGTTTTTCTATTGTAAATTGTTGAAATTTTTGATAATTTAAATCAATAGTATATTTTATATTATTGAATTTTTTTAAAATATTTAATATTTGTTGTTCATCAACAAAGTATTTATTATGAAGAGAATCGATATATTGAATAAGATGTAATCGTTGTTTATCTATTGTTAATATTTGATTTAATAGTATTGAATGATTTTTATTGATAAATGAAATATTTTGTTTTATTTGTTGAAAAATTATTTGATTTGAATGTAAAATTTTTTTCATTTGATATAATTTCATATTTAATGAACTTTTATCATCATTAGTGTTATTATTCTTGTTTCTCCTAAACAAAGAAGTTTTGAATATTAAGAAAGTTAATTACTAACCGTTGTTGTATAGATAAATTCATTTCATTATAAAATATTAATATATTTGGTATTAATGATAATTTAATATGATTAAATTGTTGAAAAAAATTTCTTGTATTAATTATATATTGTTCAATTTTATTAATTCTATTAAATAATTCTAATAAACGACTTCGATTTATATTTATATGTAGAATCCATTTATCATGTAATTTTTCATAATTAATTACTTTTTGTCGTTGTTTTTTAACAAGTAAAACATAGTGTTGTGTAGTATTTTCAAGAATATTTATCTGTTGTTTGAGATTATAAGAAATAATTGTTAATTGTAAACGATGATTAATTTCTTGATGAATATTTTTTTTAATAATATTTTTCGATTGATTAAAATTTTCAAATGTATGTTTTGTAGTATTTTGAAGATATTGATCACGTTTATGTTTAAGTTCAATAATATGATTCTAGAAAAGATGAATATTAATTTTGTATTCTATTAATTATAATTAGTTTTTGCTCACATTCAATCTGTCTACTTGGTGATGATGTGTAGATAAAATATATTCTTTTCTTTTTAATTCGATTTTAAGTTCAGTTAAGAACTGAGAAATTTCTTGTTTTATATCTTTTTCTTTTTCAATTTGTTCTTGTTTTATATTAATTATTTTAATGAAATTTTTATTATTTATATTCAATTGTATTTGTTTATTTTCATTCATTTTGAGAATCTTCATATGATATAAAAGAATGTTGTTTAATTTTTTATTTTGTTTTAGCAATTCTATTGATAGATTTTGTTCATTATTTAATTGTTCTTTAATTAATTGATGATCAATATTTAAATAATCTTGATCAATTAAAATGGAAATATTTGGTTTATATTGAAGATGTATATTTAATTGATTGTCATGCTGTTCATGAGTTGCTTTAAGATTGAATGTTAACTTATCTTGAATGTCAATTAATTCTTTTTCAACTTTATGAATTTTTTGTTGGATATGAAAGATTTGCATTTGCATTGAAAAGACTTTAGCTTTTTTGTAATTAAGTTCTATTTGAAAAGTTCCTCCTACAACACTTGTATACAAAAAAGTAGAACTACAATAATTGAATTTAATTCCTTAATCATGTCACACGTACGTGTCATATGAAGATTTTTTATTTGTAATTTTAAATTATCAATTGTTTCCATCATCGATTTTAAAGATGTTGATGAAGAAACAGTTGTAAAAATAGTTTTTATACTATTTTCTGATTTTTTCTTTTGAATTCTATTATCTAAATTATTCATAATTTGTTCAATCTTTTTTAAATTGTTCTTTTTTCTATTATATTTAATATAAAGATCGGCTAAAACTTGATGACTTTGTAGAAATATATCACGAATTTGATAGATGATTTCTGATTGATATGAAGCTATTTCAATATTAAGATGATGTAAAATATTTCGTATTCGTTTTTCTTCAAGCATAAGAACTCGTTCATTACTCATCGAACAATCAAAATATCGATAGAGTGACATCCAGTATTTATAACAACGATCTTGCATAGTTTCATCGTGAATTTCTGAGAGAGCATTAAGGAAATCTGTATAACGTACATTCAATGGTACAATATAATCATCATGAACAATAGATAATAATTCATTTGTTGTAGACATAATAGATTTTATAGTCTTATCAAGAATAATACTAATATTCTTAGTAACTAAATATGAATACAAGTTATTAAATGATACGCGCACAGTATTTATAATAAAATAATTGTTATTTAAACTTTTCTTTCTATATTAGAAATCTTCTAATCATCTATGATTATAATTTAGTAGTCAATAGATTTTATCTCACCTACTCAAATAATAGTTCCATTCTAGTGTATCGTCATAGTCTCGTAACATTGTTGTTATCGATTATATACATCATGATATTTATGTATTTAGATCGGATTCAGTAATTTTGCTAATAATTCAGTACAAACATATATTAAATAAGAATAGTTGTAAAATTAATCTGTAGATTTTCTTTTTCTTATTTTATGAAGCGTTATAAATAATTAAATATACTGTCACGGAAAACATTATTAATCTTTCATCGTTCGATAAAATGAAAGAAAAAAACAAATGATAAAACAAGAAAAGATTATTTGTGAGACACCACCACTGCATGACTATAGAAAACATTCATTGTCAAACTAATCTAATCTTGATATCAAATAATACGGGTTATAAACATTCGCTAATAGTTGATCACATTGAATATCATTATTTTTTTAGATTAACCAACACTCATTGATTGTTTGAAATAAATGTCATCTGAGCATCATCTGTGTTGTCCTTGAGATGAATCTATAAACAAATAAATAAGATAAACATTAATAAAAGATAGAAAGATATACAAAAAACAAATCTTTGTCACTACTATAAACATCAGCACATAACTGTACTGGTCAATAACGTAACTAAGGAACATAAATTGAATTTTGATGTAATGTACCCATTGACTTCAATTCATTCCATCCGATGGCTATGACCTAACAAATAGTTTTAAAAACATAGAGAAAAACAACAGAGAGATAAAAGAAATAACATATGGTAATATTTGCCGACGGCTATTCCCCAAACACCTAATACTAATGGGTTGCGATGCTTCATACCAATGGCATTCATCCGAAGATTGGTTATATTCAATCGCAAAGCAATATGTAACAGAGAAATATCATCAACAAAAATGGATGGATTCTAATTTGAATAAACAATGATATATGATGATAGTCAGTGTTGATTATCAAATCAACGAATATTTAAATCTACATAAATAGTAATCTGTGATATAACTACAATGTTTATATAATGTGCTATTGTGTTAATTCATAAATTTGACACGATCGGTTTACTACATAAATAATTGCCACTAATAAAAAGTTATATGGCTCATTGTCCAGTTGCTGTAACACCTGCTTCTTCACTCTTAATTTTTCTTAATATTGATAAATTCATTAAATATTTGCATGATGTACTTGCAATTACATGAGTCAATTCTTTGTTAAATCGTTCCGATAACGCCACGTCTAATAATTATCTAAAGTAAAATCATATTACAATTTGTGATCTTTTCGTTAGTTCAATTTACAAAATTTTTTTCGAGAAAAACTAAAATGTAATATCCATACAGCACATGAAATCTCATGAAAACACTGTTGTTGTTATATTTTATCGGTTCTACTAATAATAAATTCAAAAGTCAAACGAATAGTATTTTCAAGCAATAGATTACCAAGAACTGAACGCTACACTCTTTTCTACTTTCTAAATTATGATTGATATTTCTGAAAAATAGAAGGAAAAAGTAATGAACACGTTGTCTGCTATTGAATAGTATTCTTTTAAAGGGTATAATTTTTCATCTTGTTTGAATATGAAGAAAGAGTTAGGAAGACGAGCAATCAAAATAGTGAAATGTTGTTTGAACGCAGCCATATCTTTCTACAGATAAATGGTAATGTATTGAGCAATAATGCAACAAAGCAAATAATAACTTGTGAAACATATGTTATGAAGTAAACAATGATTATTATTGTTTTGAAAATCATTGTTTGGCGACAAGCTCCCGTCGTAGAGTATCTCGAAGAATTTCATCTACATTACTACTTTTAAATGCTTATAGTCATATTATTTTTTTTTCTTAGTTTCAGTTATAGTCGAATATTTTAACAAACATTCATAGTTTTCATAAAAAAATAAGATTAACTTCTATTAATATTTATTTTCGATATATATTTGTTGAAAGCATAAACAAAAATGTTGGATATATTTTTTTTCTGATGCCTTAACACCAAGATACTAAGCCACCATTGAGATCTTATGTATTCGTAAAGTTTTACAGTAAAATCCAAGCTAACAATGGTCAGAAATCATAATATCAATTTTCTTTAGACTTTCATTATGACAATCAATCTGGCTTGTTGAACTCGTATGATCATATTTAAACAATAATATTTGTTTTGAATGTTTTCCTATAGGAATGTTAAAGTCTGATCACATCATTCCAAATGAACAAATGTCGTTGGCTATGAAATATTCTTTCTAACAAATATCATGCTTATTTTTGTAGATCCTACCATAATATTTATACTTTAGAACTATTTATTTATGTTTTGCTAGAAATTGAATAAAATACACGGAAGATAAATAATGAAACATGAAGCTCACGTTTGTTCTATTGATTTCGTTTTTCGATGAAGCAAAAGTTTAAATAAAATTCCAATTTTTAAATAACTACGCAACACAATACATTACATGGATTTCTTCAAATGAAGTGATAGAGATTATTAGCCACCGGCTATTCGAACTAAACAGCATTGAAGGACTACCTGAATCACTATAACATACATCTATTGAGACAATATAATTATTATTTTAAATTTTGAAATCAGTATGTATTAGAGTTTTACCTTTGTTATGAGTGGTCACATGTGTACAAAATTGTTTTGATTGATCTTTTAACGAAGAGCTACAGATAATACTTTGACCAAAGGTTACTTGAAGAGTCACTTGCTGAAGTATCTGTGATGATAGAACAGTGTTTGATAACCTTCTCCAACCGATGGCAATAATCTATTATTTAAATAAATTAATAAATAAATGAAAATCCATGTTGTTTATTCATTGTTTTATGCATTCACTGAAGATTTCACCGAAGGATATTTTGGATCCAGCCAAAACGATAATTTGAGAAGCAGAATCACCATTTACACAATATACTGCTGTAATTATCCAAATATTTGATAAAATGGATCCATCATAAAAAAAATGTATTATTCATTATGAAAAATACAGCCCAATCCCAAGTTTTTGAATCGACGGTTTCTTTACCTACAATTTTTGTGACTATTACTGTATTGCTAGAACAAACACATATTACACTTGAATTACATATGTACGTTACTTAATGATTAAGTTTCAAAGTACTTAGAAAGAAGAATAGTTAAGGTAATGGCAATATGGTAGTTATAAACGAGAATGCAAGAAAAGAAATATTTTGCAAAAATCTTACGTTATTATTTTCTTCAGGTAGTCTTATACATTACCTTGCCAGCAGGAGTGATGATTTGAAATTATGTTTTATTCTAACATGAGGGTACTTTGTTCTTTACGTTTCCACTTCGCATGACATGAATGATTATTTACTGTTCGTCAACGATTTTTTTTTTACTTTGAATAACGCATCTTACAAAATATGTTGCATCATCATTAGTAAAAAGTCAAGCAAAACGAGACTATATATATATGGATTATTATTATCCTGACGTCAAAGATATTTTCGACTATGGAATTCTTTGCCTTAAGAAAACTTCTGTGTTCTTGTCAAGTTATAATTTGATCTATTAGAATAAGTACGAATCAATGTTAAGGTTAGTTATGTACAAATTTGTGTATATATATTCTGTAGCACTATCTAAAGGAGGTGTTGCAATAAGGCCGTGTCTTTTGCTCATGATATTTTCGTTTTATTTCGATCGAAAGTGTATCAGGGAGTTGTTAGGAGTATTTCCTGAGGCTTAGTTTTGCTGTATCTCGATATAATCTTTTTGACCACTGTGGTTCCCTACACGACTTCCAAAAACTTTTTTCTTTTAAATTACTTCACGATTATATTCACTAGGTACAACTTTTCGTGCTGATCATGAATATTGTATTTAAAACCGAAAAAGATTTAAGTTTTTTAACAGAGAAACACGCATACTACAAATAAATCTATCACTAAGTTGCTTCTCATCTGACAACTCTTTTTGCATATAAGAAATATACTTAAATAAATAGGTTTATTTTCTGAGATATAAAGTATTTAGGCAAAACTGTTTGGTTTATCCATTTCAAGTGAAATGAGCTCTAAAAAACTTATACTTGATTGCAAATTCGCAAAAAAAGGTAGAAATATTTTAAAAGATGAGTTTTATGACTTTTTATCCGACTTTATATTACTCGAAGATGTTCTGATATCATAAAATCATATACACTGTCCGACAAAGTTTTTTATGCCTTATCCGAATATGAATGTCGAATTCGCATAGAAAGATGTATATCGGATTTCTAGAGATCCTCTAGAAAACCAACCCTAGAATCCTAAAGAAATTAGACGTTTCGGCAACGCCAACGTATTTAGCATATCTTAAAACCTATTCCTACAATTTTTTTATAGTTTTTACTAGACACAATTATGTAATACACTAGTTGCTTCAATCTACGGAAAAAACTGGCTTCCTTAACAATCAATTAGAACATTCTGAATATCTATTGTTGTGGTCGGGTTCAGGCTGTGGAAAATTGTCGAAATAGGTTTTAAGATATGCTAAATATGTTGGTATTATCCAAAAACCTAAATTCTTTATGTTTCTAGGATTGGTTTTCTAGAGGATCTCTGAAAATCTGATGTACATCTTTATATGCGAATTTGAAATTCATATTCGGATAAGACATCGGAAACTTTATCGGACAGTGTATATGACTTCTTGATACCAGAACATCTTCGAGTAATATAAAGTCGGATAAAAAGTCATAAAACTCATCTTTTAAAATATTTCTACCTTTTTTTGCGAATTTGCAATCAAGTATAAGTTTTTTAGAGCTCATTTCACTTGGAATGGATAAACCAAACAGTTTTGCCTAAATACTTTATATCTCAGAAAATGAACCTATTTATTTAAGTATATTTCTTATATACCAAAAAGTGTTGTCAAGTGAAAAACTACTGTGCGATCAATTTATATGTAGCACGTGTGTTTCTTTGTTAAAACTCAATTTTTTTTTGTTTTAAATACGATATTAGTGATCAGTGTGAAAAGTTGCGTCTAGTGAATACCATCTTGGAGTAATTTGAGAAGAAAAAAATTTTTGAAATTTGTAGGGAAATCACAGTGACCAAAATTGTCGTGTTGAAATAGAGCAAAATTGAGTCTCAAGAAATACTCCTAACAACGCCCTCATACTCTTCTGATCGAAAAAAAATGACCATGTAATGGCAAAGAAACGACCTTATTGCAACATCTCCTTTACTGAATGATGCTTCATCAAACTGATGTCGACCGATTTTGTTTCTTCATGTTCAAATGAGTAAAACCTGTTCATTCCTGCTTTTCTATCGACAATCTTTCAACTAATTCAAATCTCCAATAATAATGATTTTGATCTTTATAATTTATCACGTTGCCTTGTACAGTTTCCTACTACCAGAAATCATGAACAAATGATATATAATAGATATAACTATGCTATTATAATCGTTACATATTCATTTAGTTACGCTCAATGATCTTCAGTTGGGTTTCTTTGTTAATCAATATTATTATATGTGAGAACCAATTGTCGCGAAATCTTGGTCGATAGTTTCTGTTCAATATATTTAAATTAGATATTTCAAAAACACTATTGAAAATTTTATTTTTTTCTAATTTTATTCAAAATTCGTTATGCGATGAGAAATGAAGATACGAATAGAGTAGAAAATAAATCAATTTAAAGATGACTTAAAGTCTAAACATAGAAACTATAGAAAAAATATCATGTTATTCATGGACGAAATATTACAAGAGGAATTAGTCCATGGAAGAAAAATAAAATAACAGTGGACATTGAAATCATGTTTGCATGTGATTTCATTACAAGCCAATAAGAATCATTTGTGTAGGATTGGATCCAATCTTTGTAAACAGCTACACTAGTATAAATACCAGAATAACGTGCTCGTGCACATCCAATACCATTACTTGTTAGACCAACTAATACCCATTGATTACTTGATGTAAACATCATCAATGGACCACCGGAGTCACCTTGACATGCATCTACAAAAAAGTGTGACAACAAGTTAAATTACAGCAACATAAAACAAGTGTAAAATAACCTTTGGTATTTCCAGGAACTCCAGCACAGAATTGTACTTTTTCATCACTTATCACTGATGTACAAGTCGATGCTAGATAGTCTATTGTTTGCAAGGTAACTTGTTGAAGACTTGTTGCTGAAGAACCACCCTCAGACAATCTGCCCCATCCAACTGCTACAACCTATCAAAGGAAATGAGTAAGAACTATTGGAGAGAGAAAGAAACTTACAGTCGTATCAACCGCTGGCCATTGGACAGATGCTAGGATTGTTGAACTGACAAGTGGCATACAGATTCTATTCACATTATGATCACTCATATTGAGTGGAGAAGCAAGTTTTAATAGAGCAATATCATTGATAAAAGTGGTCTTGTTATAGTAAGGATGTAGAATAATCTGTGACACTGTTCGAACTTGAGTACCAAACCATTGTTTATTGGATCCTGCATAAATAGTGACCGACAAATCAAAGCCAGTATCTACACAATGCGCTGCTGTGATGATCCATGAATTTGACATGATTGATCCACCACATAAGTAACCATTACCAATAAGAATTGACACAGTCCAACTCCAAGTTGATACACCAGCGGCTTCTCCACCTACAATACGGCCAATTGAGACTGGATTCGATGAACATCCACAAGCGACACTTGAATTGCATGAATACAGTACTTGATAAGTCGGTTGAGTAATTGTCAGTAATAGTACTATCCAAAAGAATGTCATGTCGTTGATTTTGAATTATTTTATAGTTGAACTGAGTCTAGTCTTTGGAATGACAAATGTTAGTTACATATAGATGACTATTAATAATAGAGTGAATCACCTACACATTTTTTTTTCTTTCTCATTCATACTTTTTTTGTTTAAACATCTCAAATACTGTCATCATCATTCAATCGAATAGTTTCGTATTAACGTGTTTATTTCTCAGAGCTTTCAATAGAAATCGTAATAAATACAATAAACTGATTCATTCATTTCATCCATATAAGTTCTTTTCAATCTGATGACGCATTCATAAAAGAACGAAATACAAGTAATCTTTTAGTCAATCATAAAATTTAGGTTTTTGTAAGCATAGAGTACTTAGGTTATTTCTTTAAGTATTCTGATATACACTTACTTCGATCACGAAAACAAATGCTGTTAGAATGAAGTTTAGAGATACTTTATATGTGTTTTTTTCTATTTCAAAACCATGACAAACAAAAATTATATAAAAAAAAATTTGGGCTTTTTTTGGTAATTACCTATTTTTCAGCATCAATGTACTTCTATTAGCGAACATTCAAAAAAGTGAGTAAGAAAAGCAAACATATACTGAGTTTATTAAACTCACCTGTACATGCGTCTTTTTTCAATCATTTTGTTCCTTTAAAGTATTCTCGAAATAATACAATCATTTTTTTTTATTTGGCCAATATTTTTATTAGGCAAAGTGTACACTTCCTTTATACAGCGATGTGACTTTTATACCATGTATAAAAGTGAAGAATTGATAGCGTTTGAATCGTCGACGTATAGAAAATAGATTGAGATCATCTTTAGAAATTTTATAGGGTGATTAAGATAGGATCTATATATATATATATATTGAATCATTGTTGGATAATTTCAGCAAGAACGTCGTTTTACAACAAAATTATACTCTGAAATTTGTGTTTAGCTAAATGAATGGTATACTATAAGTTTAAAGTTAAAATGTTTTTCAAGTTAGTTTTTGTTTTCAATAAGAAAGATATGTGAATATCATATCCATCTTTTTATGTCGATTGTTTTTCTTGTCAGTCAATTTTTCAAAGCATTATCAATGCGATTTATTGTCATTTTACAGAGTCAATATTTGTTAAAGATACACTTCTACGTATACTAAATAAATGGCTTTACTAATTAAAAAATAAAAGTAAGAAGATTATTGATTAATAATTTCGTTTATGCTTGTATCAGAACTGAAACAGTTCATGGAAATTCTACTGAAGGCAAAGGCCTCAATCCAATATCCCATAAAATTCGAAATAGTATCTAGAGGTAGTCCTTTAATACTATTTTATAGAATAAAGATAAATATATCGCTTATTTTTATTTATTAAAGATAAAGTAATGACAAAAAACAATTTATCATTTATTTTATAAAGATAAAATAAAGTAATAAAGGATACTTTTGCAGAAGATAATGAAACTAGAAGAGTTCTAGAGTCGTATAATCCGTATTCAGAAAGATTCTTCTCATTAAAAAAATATCTTGATTAAAAACACTCTACGTAAGGCGAGATTCAAAAAATAGAGAAATGAAAACTTTGTCTCTGTTTTTTTTAGTGTATTAACAAGCAAGAAAGTGTTCTTATGGTATTTTTGATGTCATTTAAGTCTCATTGTGTTATGAGACGTCTTTTTGAGACGCTATTTTAAAGTCATATCATATCTCAAATGGATGTCGCTCACACTCCTCATCTCTGAACAAGAATTCCTTGTGATTGTTAAACATATAGGACCAAGCATATAAACTCGTTTTATTTCGTATGATCCTTCCTTTAGTCGAGGAAACATGGATTATGGTTCGTGAACTTATAGATAGGTTGAAGTTGAACTAACAATCACAAGGAATTCTTGTTCAGAGATGAGGAATGTGAGCGACATCGAATTGAGACATGATATGACTTTAAAATAGCGTCTCAAAAAGATGCCTCATAACACAATGAGATTTAAATAGCATCAAGAATACCATAAGAACACTTCCATGCTTGTTAATACATTAAAAAAAAACAGAAACAAAGTTTGTATTTCTCTATTTTTTGAATCTTGTCTTAGGTAGAGTGTTTTCAATCAAAATATTTTTTTAATGAGGAAAATCTCTCTGAATACAAATTTTTACGACTCTAGAACTCTTCTAGTCACATTATCTCTTGTAAAAGTATCTTTTATTCCTTTATTTTATCTTTATCCTTTATTATAAAGGATAGTAAAGATAAAGAGTCACTCCCCATAATATCATCGATGGATTTAATCACATTCTGATTTATTAGCAACTCAATCGATTCCAGATATTTTGAAATACGTAAATCTTACAAAAAATGAAATATAAAAGTTCACATAAGTAAATCGTAGTAAAATGACGATGCTTATTAATCTCACTACAAACGACAAAATGCTTACAAATTATATTTTGGACGAATATTTCCCTGAGTAGTCCACTGCAAAAAATACAAGGTTCTCAGATAATTTTTTTGTCTGTAAAATTTTGTAAAGCTCATTCACTTGATAAGTCATGGCGTTAGAGTCAAAATACTCAAAATCTTCGGCTATTCTTGACTGCTGTTGAGCGGTAGTTGACAATTTCGAATATTTAGACTCCAGCACTATGATTTATTGAGTAAATTTAAATATGTTTTTACCAAAATAATCAACACAACGAGCTCTACAAAGTTCTACAGATGAAAAAAATCCTCTGACAAAATTTGTGTTTTTTGCGATTGACTATACATGAAAGTATCTATCAAAAATATGATTCGCAAGCATTTTCTCTTTGGTAGTCAGGTGGTTTACTATGAAACAGTACGAGTTTGAAATCGATATCGTTTTATAGTCATGAGTTCAATATTTGTTCTTATACGATAATGAATGAACATCGTCAAACTTTTAGTTGAAACACTGCGCATGAAGAGCTAAGATTGAAATTACGAGTGTGGCTGTTCAAGCCATCGGCTACAATGAGAGATAGTAACGAACTGATCGACCAGTTCTTTTTTCAATAATCTTAAGCTAGTGCCCTGGAGCTCGCTTGTAAAACTACCCATAATTTCGCACACTGTTTTAAAGTAATAAACAATGACTGTATCTGTCTAACTACATTTTATTACAAAGTATCATCGTTATTCCATGCCATTGGACTCAATAGAATGTATATCCTAAATCGGAGGACAAATTATCCGTGTAGATGCAGTGAATGTTGAATGATTGAATACAATGATCTTGATTAATCAAATCACACATCTAAACGTAAATACTGTAATGCGTTATAATCTCAGTAAATTATTATAATTGTAAGAGTAAATCGTTTCTTCTTTCTTTGATGCTTTTCAACACAACGAATAAACAAAAATGCAAACAGGAGACCTGTTTTTAATCTATAATCTAAAATTAAATCATGCCTAGCAAGAACATTACTGCCGCTTTCGGGCTTTATTTGTTCGAGCTTTTTCTATAAATTCCGTCGTACATCTTAATCATGAAAGAAAAAGAATTATACTGATGGTGAGAACTGACACTTCAGAATTGTCTTTCTTTTGGTACAGTTCAAATGTGTTATATGATATCAATGGATTAATCTAGATAAATTCAATAAATTCCGAAAAAAAATCCAAATAGTCCCTCGCTTTGGCATAACAGTAACTTAAATCGATTATTCTGCTGCTCGGATTCGCGAATTTTCGGCTGAAACCCGCAGGTAAGGCATTGTTTCCAGTAAAGAAATGATAGAAACTGTAAAGCAGAAATCCAATGGTTGTATCCAATCGCTGGCTCTGCTCGATTCCGACTGGAATTGGATAAATCCGATCACCGGATCTTTTCATCGGATTCCTGCTTCCAAGTTCCTACCATTTTCCTATCGGAACCCACTGTATCCCATTCACTTGGAAATGACCGAATATTTTTGTTTTGAATTTTGTATCATATTGGACAAAAAGAAGGTAACAACAAGTATTTAATGTCAATATCTATGTACAAATGTTATATTCGAATTCTTTTCTTCTTTATAATAGAATACAGCAATCAATCGAAATGGAATGAAGATATTATTCAATAGATATATGTGATCATTTTTTACAATATCGAAATGGTATATATTTTTTTAAAAGAAGAGTTTCATTCAAATCTTATTGACAAGATTGTATACTATTGTCAACTTATTTTCTTTTAGTTCTCTCAAATTTTGCATTTTGAAATATTTCAGCTGAAATGAAAATGTGATATAATATTAATTATTCCCGGACACAGTTCCAACAGCGCTGAAAACCAGTCATAACGATAGAAACAAAAAAAAAAGATACAGAATATTGATGTAAATATAGTATGTTCATTAAATTTATCGTGTTGTATTTTCGTTTATGGTTTCATATAACCAAATGGTTTAAAACTATAAAATCAAGATACTGCATGTAACTGTTACTATGAGAGTGATAATCTCAATGGACGAGCACAGCATAAAATTGAATATGACTCATTATAAATATATTCTTTGAATGAAATCATAGTAATGCTCATTGATGAAATTGTCAATAACACTTCTTTCAATGACAGAATATTCTATTCTACTGTCCGTTTCAAAATAAAGTGCATGCCACTGTTTTTTAAATAACTCAAAAACGCAACGAGCTAGAGACCTGCGGTTTTCACCAATCGATAGATGAGACAGGAGGACGTCTTTTTCTCAGATAATGTGTAAGACGAAATCCTTTTAAAATTAGTCATCTCTAAAGAACATGGGAAAGAATGCATGAAAATGACCTGCCATCCGGATGAAATTTTGATTTTGACCTTTGATTTAGATAGAGGAACTTGATATCTATAGTTTAAGATACAATGCACTTTCTTACTTTTCCTTACGTTTTCATCGAAATGTCCAGCTATTATGATAAAAATGCAAAAACATAGTAAAAAAAATCAGTAAAATTCTCTATTATTTGTTCATGTAAATACATGGTTCCATTTGGTCAACGTTGGAA